CAACACAACGACAACACAATGACAACACAACAACAACACAACAACAACACAAAGACAACACAACAACATCACAACAACATCACAATGAGACAGTCTGAGCTCTGAACCACATCATCTGCAAAAGCAGAGCTGCGATCCTGAGGTCTCCAAACAAGACCGGAGACTAGAGGCAGCCCTGGCAGAGTCCAACACCCACCAGAAACGTGTTTGACTTCATGCCGAGGATGTAATACAACTTTGGTTGTACAGGGACCAGTTGGACCAGGTACCCTATCCTCCCGCAGTGACCCCCCACGGTCGTAAGCCTTTTCCAAATCCACACATGTGGACTGGCTCGTTGAACTCCCAGTGACCCTCAGCAGCTCTGCAAGGGTAAAGAGCTGGTCCACTGGTCCACGACCAGAACGAAATCCGCATTGCCCGTCCTGAATCCGAGGCTGGACCATGGGGGGAGCCTCCCTTCCAGCTCCCTGGATTAAACTTTTCCATGATACCCTGATAATTCGAGCCCCTCCTCTGATCTCTGTTTTAATAATGTTGGCCACCACCCCGCTGCTCAGGCGCTGACCCCGATGCCGATGCAACACTGACGAGACGTGTCAACCAAGACCGTCCAACAATGTCCAGAGCCTTCAGCATCTTGGGGCGACTCCCATCCACACCTGCCACCAAGGAGCTTCTTGACTACTTACTACCAAACAAAAGTCATTTTCCACAGTCTCTCCAAACTCCTCCCATACCTGAGTTTTAGTTTCTGCAATAGCTGCAGTTGTTTTGGCCGACCGGTACCTGTCTGCTGCTTCAGGAGACCCTCGAGGCAACCAGGCCCGAAAGGCCTCCTTCTTCAGCTTGACGGCACCAGCAGGTTTTGAACAGGTACCAGTGACCTTCTGACTGTAGCTCCTAACTGGAGGCTTAGAACACAGTTCACTCAAACTCCTCAAGGAGAAACTCTCCTGGCGATGGGAGTTGAAAACCCCACGGACAGGTTCCTCCACCAGACGTTCCCAGTTCACCCTCACCACATGTTTGGGTTCACCAGGTCTGTCCGGCAGCCTTTCCTTTCCTTTCCTTCCTCTTCCGAGTGTCCGAGACAAACGGCCACAGGTCTGATGACACGACTACAAAGTCTGTAGTCTTCTGGGAAACTATGGAAAAGGAGAGAGTCCAACCTTTCCATGAGTTTGGTTCCAGAACCTTTGCTGTGTGTGATGGCCACTTCAGTGACATCATGCTCATGTACAAACTCCAGGAATTAAACACGGCCCGAGACTGAAGACACAGATCAGAAGCTGTTCTTTTTTAGGGACCTTATGTTGATGGTTTGAACTGCACTGTGCTGTTCAAGTCGTTCTTCTCTCGTCTTCCTCCACCAGAACTTCTGTTTCCGGTCTGTAACCCCAAACCGGGTCGAGGCGAGTCCTGTCTGAACAGCCCGAACCTGCTCATGGACATGTTGGCCTGGAACCAGGAGGAACCAGGAGACCACTGCCCCTGTTCAGAGGGGCTGCAGTGTCTGCCGCACAGGTAGGAACAACACAACAACAACAACAACAACAACAACAACACAGCACAACAACATAACACTACAAATACAACAATAACACAACACAACAACAACATAATACAACACAATGTAACAATAATACAACACAAAGCAACAACAGCAAAACAACACAACACAGGTAAACACTACAACACAACAACAACATGACAAAAGACAACACAACAACAACACAACACAGTACAACACCACCACAAAAACCACAATAACACAACTAGATGCGACACAAGTAAACACAATAACACAACAGCAACATGACAAAAGACAACACAACGCCACAGCAACCACCTCCCAAAAGGAAGTGTTTGTACAATAACTTCTCCTTTTTGTGTGTGTGTGTGTGTGTGTGTGTGTGTGTGTGTGTGTGTGTGTGTGTGTGTCCCTCAGCCGAGGCTCAGTGTGCGAGGAGTGACGCCGCCGGATCAATATCTCCAAAGATCAAGGAGCTGCCGATCGATCGGTTCATCACAGAACGACATCACTGTTTTATTTATGCTTTATTGCCGACATGTATCACGTCTCACACAGGAAATAAAAGTTTTTAGTTTGAACCGATGACATGTGGTTTCATTGAGTGTAGGGCTCAGCGGCGGCCACTAGGGGGCAGAGCCGACCTGTTTTCAGTTAGTCAGGAGGGAACAAAACTATAGACCAGGCAGATAAAATAAAACATCACATGATCCCTGCAGGGCCACAAACACAACAAAAAGGCCTTTGACTGAAATATTCAGGCCGATCTTTGGATTCATTTTCTGTGTTTTTCCTCAAACAGAAAAAAAAAACAAGTCTGAAAAACTCTGCTTTTCACCTTTTATTTCAGGCAGAGCTTTAAAATGTGAGTTTTTGCAGATTAATGTTTGATATTTTTCTGTAATAATCCAGAAAAGAATGTAAAAAACAACTAAACGTTTTCTGTTTCCAAACTGAATGTGACCTCTGAGGGATTTGTTTGTTCAGCGGTTTAAATAAAATCTCAGCCTCTGATAACCTGCTGATAAACTCCTGTTGCTTTAAGTTTTGTTTGTAATATTAGTTTGAATTATATCAGCAGCGTGTAGGAGGTCAGGTTAGTTTCTGGATCTCTGCTTTTTAAAAATTTTATCACATCCGGATTTCCAGAAGTTGATTTAATCCACTGTTTAGACTGTTGTTCTGGAAGTGAATGCAGATTATTGCATTAAAATAAATACACACCTTATCTACAAACTTAAATAATCATTTACCATGACCTGGACTCATATTTACAGACGTACAAATCTGTCTTTAAAAAAAAAAGAAAAGAACAAAAAATCCACAAAGAGACACAAAAAGTCAAGAAAGTTCTGACAGTTGTCACTGAATTACTTACATACAAAAGAAATCCTAAAAACCTGTTGATTCTCGGGCAAATTTGGCTGCATTGGGCTACAACATGAGCCCTGAATTTCAGGCTATATTAGTGTACGTTTGGAAAAATGAATTTAGCCGAATTATTAATTAATAGCTCCTTGTTTATAATGCCAGTTGTCATGTTGACAGCTGTCACTGAATTACTTTGACACTGAAGAAAACTTTTAAAACAGATGATTTTCAATGAAGTTCGGTAGCGTTCCAGTTCCTGCATGTTACCTTTTTTTTTAGCCTATATTTATTCATTTTAGCATATATTCATTTACATTTTTAAAAGTCAAGTTAGCCGAATTATCTTTTAAAAGTTTAGCTTTTGTTCTGTAACACTGACGTAGTGACAGCCGTCACTGATTTACTTTTATACTAAAGAAATCTTAAAAACCTGTTGATTCTCTGTCAAGTTTGATAGCGTTGGGCTACAACGTGAATCCTGAATTTTAGGCTATGCTAATGTACATTTGGAGAAATAAAGTAAGCCGAATTAGTTATCAATACTTCCTTGTTGTTAAACGTCATTAGTCATACTGACAACTATCACTGAATTACCGAAATGCTGAATAAATCTTTAAAAACGAATGGTTTTCAATGAAGTTCTGAAGTGTACCAGTTCCTGCATGTTACCTGCTTTTAGCCTGTGTTTTTAAAAATCAAGTATGCCGAATTATGCAATAACAGTTCTTTGTTGTTAAACACCATTAGTTATCTTGACAAATATCGCTGAGTTACTTTATGACTGCAGAAATCATAAAAACCTGTTGATTCTCAGGCTAGTTCTGAAGCGTTGGGCTGCAAATTGAGCCCTGAATTTCAGCCTACAATAATTTACATTTTTGAAAATTAAGTGAGCCGAATTATCTGATAAAGGTTTATGTTTTGCTCTGCACCACGGATGTACTGACAGTTGTCAATGAATTACTTTCATAATGCAGAAATCTTTAAAAACGTATGACTTTCAATGAAGTTCTGTAGCGTTCCAGCTGATGCATGTTACCAATGTTTTTAGCCTATAATTACCGACATTTTTCAAAATGAACTTGGCCGAATAATCCATTAACAGTTCTTTGTTGCTAAACATCGTTAGACATGTTGACAACTATTACTGAATTACTTTGATACCGAATAAATCTTTAAAAACGGATAATTTTCAGTGACGTTCTGCAGAGTTCCATCCTTCTTGTATATTGTGTCAAAATAATGAACTTTTTTCCCCTCATAAACACGAGATAACACTTTTCTAATAAAGATAAACATGAGATAATCAGTCACCTGCGAGCTTCCTTCTTTCCTGGATGAAACGCGTGTCTGAGTGCGCATGTGAAGTTTTCCGAGGACGCGCCGAAGCCAGCAGGAGTGAGACCTCCCCTCCGTCCTATCTGCGCAGCCACCGCCGTCCCTTGACGTCACTCCGGTTCATTTATTCGGTGGCTTCCTGCTGAGTCTCCACTCCGTCTCCCGTAGCAGTCCGCGCTGCTGCTGCTGCTCCGCCGCACCGACGCACCGACAGCTCCACGGCCGGGGGGAAGCGTCCACATTCCGGGTACGTAACCGTCCTCCGTCCGCCTCCGTGCGTCCGGAGGCGCCGCGCTCGGTGCCAGGTTTGGTGTGGAAGGAAGAGATGCGCCGACAGGAGGAAGGGCGGGAGGGGAAACGGTGTGGCGCCGCAGAAAGACGCAGAAACGTGGAGCGTTTTTACGCACGAAGCTGCTGCTGCTTTGATCCACTTGAAAGGAGGAAGCTGAAGTGTGAAACTCTGATCCGGAGGCGCTTCATCACTTTTGTGCTCGAGCGCTCGGTCGGATTTTACGCGTCAGCTGCGGCGGACTGTTGATGTGGAGCAGCTGTGAGATGAGAATCACGGGATTCTCTGTTCTGCTGCTCAGTTCACGGATTCTGCGGTTGGAGGGAAATGGTGCCCTCGTCAGGTCCTCTCACGGCCAGGGGGAACTTTTTGGAGGCAGTTTGGGGTCTTAACATCACGGGGTTCGAACTTTAGCGCCTCCCAGGTCCGGTTGTTAGACTCAGGACTGAGCTGATCCTCACGCTGTCCTCACGGTGTTCCTCCTGAGGCTGCTTTGACCTGAATTACAAGTCTGAACATGCAGAGGTGAAGCTGGATGGAATGAGTGGCGCTGTGGAGGCCTGGAGCTGACTTTATTTAAATGGAAACTGGAAATCATTTAACCCTAAAATACAGTGAAAGCATGAACATGTAAACGCAAGAACGCCGGTGGTTTAAATTGTACATTTCTAGGCCGTAGAGCAGGTTTTAAGTATTCGAAAATTAAACGTTAAAGTCTTCAAATCGAGAGCGGTGACATAAAAATACGACAAAGACTTTGGGATTCGTTCAGTGTGTCCCCCGTAGAGCAGGATTTGTAATGCATTTTTAGTTTTTTATTTTCATTTTGATTTCGACTCTAAAATACTGTAGAAGCAAGAAAAATGCAAACGACTGGAGGCCTCATTAGAATATTGTTAAATGTGTTTAAGTTGTCCACACAGCTTCTGGACTGAGATCGTTCATCACTTGTAGTGTTTTCAGTTTGGATGAGAAATGATCTGTTTTACTTTCTGGGTCGATTCGATGCCTTTCTCTGTAAAACTGTGAATCTTTGGGTTTTGTTCTTCAGTCCGTGCTGGATTTTTTCGTTCCTTCACAACGTTTGTTTGCGTAAAAGTCGGAATGTTTCTTTACGCAACTCTCTGGCGGCTTTAGTGTCGGGGTGGAACATTTCCCAGCTCTTGCTCGATCGCCTCCCCTCAGCCGCTCACACCTCCACGTTTCAGTTTCTGAATGTGGTCGGCGGACGACAGATGTGACGGTTTGGCTGATAAACGTTTTATTTCAGAGGTCTGCTGTCGCAATGTGTGCAGAATGTGGTTGAGAAAGGCCGTCGTTGATAAAGACGGCAGCGCACGGAGTCCAAACAGTTCATTGTTTCTGGAGGTCCAGTGGAAACCAGACGTTTACAAAAAGACACAAAACCGTCTGACATCA